CTCCCTCCCTCTCCCTGCCTCCCTCGCTCTCTCCCGTAGCTAACAGACCAACTGTGCCGCGGCAGTTCCATTGGCAGGGAAGGGAAAGTTAGGAACTGTCTACAAATGTTTTTAGTTCGGATATTTTGGATGGAAAGGGGGAGGCAATGACCTCCCCGGCACAGGAGCAGTGCTTACAGAGCTGGAAATCATGTCAGAGCAGAGCCAGCCCTTCACAGTGCTGGGAAAGTTTGTCTCTGCATCCCCAGTTATGATACTGCCTTGATTTGCACAGTGGGAGAGAAATCTCCCTCTGCTAAGAAGGCTGCATTGAGGCACCCTCGGAGTCATGGCATTTTCCCTGATGAGGAGTGTCAACCTGTTGAAAAGGGCAAAGGGGAGCAAACCACTCTGCGCACGCCCCCGGGCAGCAGCATTGTCAGGGTGGCAGCACCCGTCTCCCAGTCCTCCAACTGCGCTCTCTGCCCGGTCACTTCATCACCCTTCTCCTCAGATCTCTGTGTTTGCTCGACCCCTGACACTTCGCTGTTTGGCCACCAGCTCGGATGCAGGACAGTGCTCAGCCCTGAGCATAGTCAAGCCTTTGCTTTAGGGCTGGTGGTCCATGGGAGACATCCGACCCCCTTCCAGGGCCACTTTCAACACTTCTTGGTGCAAGTGGAGAAGTGCAGCATTTCTACCTTTGTATATATGCAAACTGTCCCCTGGTGATAGCAATCAATGACAATTTCACATGACAACAATTATTGAAGCAAATGGCTTTGGGGAAATACATTTCTTTCCTAAGGGGTGCAAGCTCAAGGAGAAAAGGGTACTTCCAAATAAATGTTATGGATAAAGCAGATCATCTAATAGCAAAATACCCACTAACAATTTGGGGAGTTTGAATTTCTAGCAAGAAATATTTGCTTTGATTTGTCATTGTCATTTTTGAAACAGGTTGTTCTAGCACAGCATAAAAAACAAGAGATGAATCAATCACTATGGCTGCTGGCAGCTCCCTTTCTCCTCCCCCTCCACTCCAGGGCTAGAGATGGATAGATGTAGTAAAGGAGGCATACAAAACACTGTTTGCTTGTTGTAGTTTGCAAGAGAAATAAAAGTAAGAAGAGAGGTTCAGATCCACTTCCAGATTTGCGACTTTTTTTTTTTTTTTTTTTTTTTAAAGGCAAAAAAACAAACCCAGGTAGCTTGTTTCCTCTGAAGTGGAGGTGTTAGCTAAGGCACCTAAAATGCCTGTGCCTCCCTCTGCATGCATGACTATCTTTTGTGTTCCGAGTTCCTAAAAAACCTTTGCTTTAGTTTTGGGAAACTGCTAACACTCTCTTTGTCACAGCCTGACCTACAAAGTCCAAGAAATACTGGACACACAAAAGTTTCTGTGAGCAAATTTCCTGCCTTCCACCTGGACATGGGCACTCTTACCCCTGGACTGAGGCCGCACCTCGATTCCTGTGTTCAGTTTTGGGCCCCTCACTACAAAAAGGACATTGAATGACTCGAGCGTGTCCAGAGAAGGGCAACGGAGCTGGTGCAGGGTCTGGAGCACAGGTCGTACGGGGAGCGGCTGAGGGAACTGGGGGTGTTTAGTCTGGAGAAGAGGAGGCTGAGGGGAGACCTCATCGCCCTCTACAGCTCCCTGAAAGGAGGGTGCAGAGAGCTGGGGATGAGTCTCTTTAACCAAGTAATAAGCAACAGGACAAGAGGGAATGGCCTCAAGTTGCGCCAGGGAAGGTTTAGACTAGATATTAGGAAGCATTTCTTTCCAGAAGGGGTTGTTAGGTGTTGGAATGGGCTGCCCGGGGAGGTGGTGGAGTCCCCATCCCTGGAGGTGTTTAAGAGTTGAGTCAACTTAGCGCTGAGGGTTATGGTGCAGCTGGGAACTGTCAGTGTGAGGTTAACGGTTGGACTAGATGATCTTCAAGGTCTTTTCCAACCTAGATGATTCTGTGACATTTTCCCATGGAAAATGTGAAACAAAGGAAGGGCTGGGGCTTACACCGCTGCCCACACAGCTGCTGCACATCACATCGCTCACCGGCTGTCCTCAGGACAGTCCTAGGCAAGGAACGCACTGAAATAGAAATGCGCTGCTGTTTCATATGAGACCTGTGTCCACTCCCTTGAGCCGTGCCAGTGGAAAGTTACTGCTCCCAGCTTGCTATGTGAGTTTTAGAGGTTTGCTTCTCCACAGCTCTTAGCCTGCCCAGCTGTAATTAAAGCCAGGGAGACTTGAGGGCGTTCGGTCTCTGGCAGGACTGCGTACTGAAAAGCACACATTGCACTTGCTGGGAGATTACACAGGCTAATGACTGTGAGGACCACAAGGGGAATCAAAAAAACCTTCTGAAATATCTAGCCCTTGTGCTGGAAAAAACAACCACACGCAAAATACTTATCTATACCTCTGATTCAGGACTGTGCTTCCTGTGTAAGTCCCCCCCCCCTACACCAACAAAGCATTTAAGCAGAGTAATGTAAACATATGCCTATATTTCATTAGCAGTAAATTTAAGTCAACATATGTCTACATGAACTCAGGCCTCAAAGAGTGAGTCAGGGACTCAATCAGTGTTGTAATTGAACTAAAATAATCTAAGCCTTCTCTAAATGCACATAGCTTTAACCTGTCACATCAAATGAAAATTATATACTTAAACTATAATCTTCCTGTTCCCTTAGTCATCAAAAGAGGCTAGATCAAATTAAAAAAAGAGAGTGTGGATGCTGCTCAGCTGGCTGAGGAGGAGGTGGGGCTCACAGAGCAAGACATTCAGCTTGAACGAAGGGCTATTTCTGCCTCCCAAACTGAAGTCACCCCCAAAATCAGCTCCTCCAGCACCCTCACCCACATCGCTCCTTTCTCCTTCAAGCAGGAAACTGGCAGCTTGAAACACCAACTGCATTGGTGGTGGCTCTATATTGTCATCTCCCCTGACAAGTAACGTTGGTTGGATGTGGTCTCACTAAGTGACAGTTAATATTTCCACATATGAGCTTGTTCAAGCATAAGGCAAGCAGAGATAAGGTCAGACTGCAAACACCCATCAAAAGATGCCATTGTTTGGTTCGGGTTTAGGTTTGCTGCATTTTGTTTTGTAGCACTGTGAAAAATGTGAATAGGAGCTCTGTCCTTGGGTTTTTCTGAATGTGTGTGCTGATAAGACAGCTGTGGGAGAAGACAGAGAAGCACTTGCAGGTGAAGAGGGTAAGTGATTTACAAGCTGCATACTTGGTGTAGGTATGGGATGTTTAAACCGCTTCATTACCTGACTGCATTGGAAGTATCAAGGTCACTTTAATGCAAAATTAACTCTGATTTTCATATAGAAGTGCTCAAAATTTTTCTACATTGAATCTGCACAGATTTATTTTGGTCAGGAGGAGGACTTTTGTTGAAATAACAGCATCATCCCTTCAACGGGCAAGGTTTATGTTATAAAAGCATTAATAGCAGTGCAGATTAATCTAATATGAGGAAAATCATGACCAGTAAAACCTACTTGTATAATCGCAAAATGGTCACTACCCTCAGATTTACAGTATTATAATTCTACTGCTGCAAAACCATATATTTGGCAGACAGTGCAAGCTCTGTTGGTAAACTAGGCATACCAGATACCTCACTACCCATGAAGCTTTATCTATATAGCTTTATGTATATATCACACACACACACACCCCCACGAGGGGGAAGGTGAGAATAGTGCTCGCTTAATTATACCAAAATATGTAAAGTTCTACAATAACTTGTACAAACAAGGCTTAAATACCTCTCAGCATCAGCAGCTAACAAAGTAAGTGGGTGACCAGTGCTGTGTACTATTCCCCACAGCTGACTCCTGTACCGGTCAATGCTCCTGGGGCTGCATCTTGCCCTACTTTAATCTCTTGGAGCAATGAAATGTTTCCCCTGTTGACCTGCACCCACCCTGCATCCTGTGTTTCCTCCTTACCTTACTCTACCCACTTCTCTGTTGTGCTTAAATGAATCAGCAGGTGGGGATTTAAGCTGTAAGTAAACATTAATGTATTTTTAATCTAGTTATGCTTGTCTAACCACTGCCTAAAGAACAAGAGAAGCTGAATTTGCCTGTCTTCATATGCCATTTCCACTTACTGCCGCATCACGCTGATGGGTTCAGCTGCTCCTGGGTGCAGTTGTGTGTGGTGGCACAGGCAGACAGTTGGGACAGGGATGGGGTCAGGGAGGGACGAGTCTTGTTTCCTCCCTTTGCAGGGTTGGGTTCAGTACTACAGCAACATCGGCACTACCCTTCTACACCACTGAAAAGAAAAAGTATTAAGTGCATTTTAAAGGGAGTTTGTGGACAGCCATGCTCCTGTTCAAAAAAAGCATGCACACTGTTAATATGAGTCCACGTGCTAATACTCATTCAGTTGCTTTGTGTTCTTGTCAGCAGATTGCACCTGGTTGGTGAACCTCATCTGTAGCACACTACAGCCCAACAAGAAGCCACTTACGAAAATGCTGAAGACCAAACAGTCATGCAAAAAACTCTTTGACAAGTAGTTTCCCATAAGAATTTCATGTGGAGGGAAAAATCTTAAGCTGCCCATATCCGTTCACACCCTAAATTTGCATACCTGAATAAAGCTAATCAGTAAGAGGATATTAAAAAGGAATTAATGGAACTGCTTAAATAAATGGATGGGGCTTTAAAAGCTTTTTTAATTGATCTCCACAAAGGATATGGTGTTTTTAATATCAGCTTTGTTTATGCATGCTTAGTACCAGCTTCTACCCTTTATTTGTAAGCAAGCATGCTAGTAATACATGAATAAAATTTTATTCAGATGTATGAAGTGTTCTGATTTTCTTTAACATGCATCGCTAACAGTATTTTGCTAGCTAAGCCAGACTCTTACAGTCTAATTATTTCTGTATGGGACTACAAATAGGCCTTGCAAACTGAGAACAACTTCAGTGAGTCCAGGAGTGCCTCTACCTCCTGCTGAAGCTGTGAATTTATTCCTTAACCAACTTGTAATCAGTTAACTAACTCAGTGCAGGACCTGAGATGTATCGCCTGCAACTCTTCATTTCATCCTGCATAAAACCTCCGATCTATCCTGAGCCTTTTGGCATTCCCGTTGCTGTTATTTCCAGTGCTAATTACCAGTGGAGCCTGGAGCAATCTATCTGCTGAGAAGAACTGACTGTACTTTACAGTGTGGTCTCCTAAGGACAAGAGCAGAAACGTGCTCATAACAACAGGCTCTTGGTTTGCTCCCTGCAGGCTGGGCGGATGCTGGCTGTGCCTGGTGAAGGGCAGAGCTGGTATGAACCCACGGCCCCAGTCGTGGCTGGTACCTGCAGGAAGCAATGCAGCCGTGCCCTGGTTAGGGGCACCCCTCCACAGCACGTTTTGTTGGGGGAACGCAGACCTGCAGCCAGCAGGGCCAACAGGCTGCCAGCTCCAGCCATCATCCATGTCCTGGATGGATATCACCTGCACTTTGGTGGGGTTTGGCTGAACGACAGACTATCTTTCAAAAAGGAACCCCAGCTTGATGTAAGGCCTGTGAGCTACACAAAAATCTTTTGCTTCTACTGCTAAGCTGCCCGACTAGCCAACCATCCAAACTGTAGGGGTGTTTTGCCTTATTTCTTGCTATGTCTATGTTGTCTGGGGTTTGCATACTGCCCAGGGGAACTGCTTTGTCCCTCTGTCAGCAGACACAGACTGCCATCGAGGTGCCTTCTGAGCTGCTTCTGAATAAGCTGCCCAAAGATTTCACTGCAGACATCTTTAACTGTGAGCAGGTGAAGACAAGGACCTCACATCTACTGTATCGACGCAGCGCATGAAGCTTCCTGATGCTGATCATGGTATGGGGGCTTTAGGCACTGGAAGTTTCCTTGCCACTGTCACAAGGACTCATTAGCCATAACCTCCATTAGCACTGTGCTGCATTTCTCTTCTGTGCTCTTTCCCACTGACCCAGGTTTCTTCCTGAAGAGGCTGAAGCTGTCTCGCCACCACAAGCACGAGGTGAGCCCTCCAAGGTGGCTCTCAGCCCTCCCTGTCCTCCAAGGATGGACCCAGCACTGCCAGCCACGGCACTGTGGGTTTTGGCCACCAGTCATCCACATCCCCTTCAGCTTCATGGTTGGCCAGGGCTCAAAGATTTGGCCTACAATGGTGACCTACATAGAGCAGCCAGCTCACTCCTTAGTCCTTCTCTTGCTAGGCTGAGCGATCTGAGCTGATTACATCCCCTGATTGCCAGGTGATTTTCCAGGGTTCCGGTCCCATTAACTCGTCCCATTACCTTCATGTCCCTCCTTGAGCACAGAACCAGAAACCAGAGTACCCTGGGCAAAAGTGTACCACTGGTGCTCTTAAGTGCCACCACACCTTCCCCTATCGCTCCTGCTACAGCATTTGGAGATGGGCTTTGAGACGTATAGGCGTTAAGACACATGGCTTATTTAAATAAATAGTGCAGGTTATGAAACACTGAAGTCATTAGAAAAGTACAACACGGCCTCCCCCTCACAGCCTGTGTCATTTCAGGTCTCTCGTGGAAGAAGCCTTCACCACATCTCCATAAGGAGGAGTCTGAAGGGGCAGAAGCTGGACACAACCAGGAGTCACCATGTCTCCTGGGAATCAGTGACCCCCTGAGAACCCTCCCCCCGAAATGTCCTCTCTCACAGCAGGCACTGAACACTGCCTTACAACAATGATGATAATCAAATCACATGCTCCAGGGCTTTGGAATAAGGAAAAACAGGAGTTTTTGGCCCCTGCCCACTGCACAATTAACTAGAAGTTCATGGAGGTTTTTCATTTGTTTGTAGCTCTTTGCCTTGTCTCCTGTTTTGAAAAAAAAAAAAAAAAAAAGAACACACACTTGTAATTGGGTGCAGGACCATAGGCCCTGCTCATATGCCCTCATTTCCCTTCAGGAAGGGGTTTCTGTCCCCCAACCCAATGACCTGACCTGGGGACAGGGAAAGGATAGGGCAGACACAAAGCATTTTTTTCAGCCTGCACCAAGAGTTATGGCTCAGCCACCTGCCTTCTGGCTCCATCCTCAGTGGTCCCATCCTGATTCTCTTGTTATTCCCCTCTTGCATAAGAAACCAAATGATGGCTTGCAGGGCACATCCATTCTGCAAGAAAATGCGGAGCCTCGCAGAAAGTCACGCACACAGGCTGGATGTTTAACCTCAACCTTTCTTCTTCTCCCTTCCCGGCACCGTGTTTTCTACCAGTCATGAAAAGCCCAGGAGATGGGCAAGAGCAACCACGGGTCTGTACAGGTCAGGGGGATGGAGCCTGGCCACTGGGATGCTGGTTTGTATGCTTAGCCTGGGGCAGTTGGTTCCCAGGAGCCCTTGCAGGTTGGAGATCATCTGCAGCCTCCCTGCAGGGACATGCTACAGACAAGGCGAGTCAGGGCAGAGCTCAGGTCTCCTTGACTCCTGAAGGAATGGTGCTGTCCAAACAAGAATGTGATCCCTGGGAAATAATGATTGAAAACCAGGTTTAATATAACTTCCACTCCTTTCCTTTCAGCCTTATCTGCCTGCAAATATTTTCTCAGCGCTGATTGATCTGAGTGCCGTTATCTGGTACATAGCTTGAGATGAAGGTTTTGATGGAGCTTGAAGTGCCAGAAAACCATTCGCTCAGTTATGGCTCTGACAAATGGATCCCTCTGAGATGCTGAGCTTAATGTGGGGGGTTTTTATTTATTATCAGCATGTTCTTGTTCTGGGCTGGCGAGAGAGCAAAAGCCAAGGGGAAGGTATCCAAATAGCATATTTTTGATCTGGCTCAAAACAAAAACTATCAACAGGAAAGTTTCAGGTTATAAGTACCAAGTACACCAAAGCTTCCAAATTTAAAAAACAAAGTACTATATTCTTCTCTTTTTGTCTCTTCTCTGCATTTTAAAGACACACCAGTATTTCTCAAAGGAAAAATAGTTCCTGAAACACTTCCAGAATGTTTCTAGACAGCTTGCAGGATGCTTTTCCCCAAAGCATCAGCAAAGGAGATCTGGAGCCACCTACCCAAATTTGCCAGGGGCCATCTCCGCATGGCCCATGAGGACCAGGGCAAGGACGGCAACATGACACCCTTGGCAGGACCTGGGCTGACAGGTGCACGGTTGGGAGCAATGGGAGGTCCATCTTGCAAAACCAGCCCTTGGCGGCAGCCTGGGAGGTAAGATGAGCCTATTTTGTGGGCAAAAGTTCCAGCAGAACTGCACCAACACAACAGAAATTAAAACCAAGCCCAAGTTAAGTCTTGAGACTTGTCACCTGCTTTTCAGCTGGTGCTGAAGGCAACAGAACTGCATCATTACAAGCATATCATGGTTGATACAGGCTGTGGCGCTAGCCCATACCCATGATTTTTAAAGAAAGATTTGGGGCACTGTGATGCCATCAGGATGGCTCCTACACCGTTTTGTCCTGGAGCAGAAGGCTCCAAATCGAGCTGAACACAGCAAGCTAATCTGCTGTCAGGCATGGCCTTGGTATAAAATGGGACACAAAGGAAATCTGGTGCACTATTACCATCAAGATTGAAAATTCCAAAAAAAGTTCTCCTTGAAGCTCAACAGAAATGAAATAATTTTTTACATCATTCCTCTTTGAAATGTTTCCATTTCGTTTCAAGATTAATTCCAATGAGTGAAACATGTCTTTCACAAAAGGGAAAAAGGCCATTCAGTGAACATTTATTTCTTTTAAAACTTGGAACTGACCTATAATGCACTGCCATTTAAGCATCTGAAATAAAAAGTTGACTATTATACCTTTTTTTTTTTTTTTTCAGGGAAACCTCATTTATCAGTACAGTCCTCCATCCACCCACCTGCAACCCTGCTCTACTACATACTTTGTTATCTAAGAGTATTATTTGCAGTGATTTAGTAAATTAAGCCAAAACTTCTGCTCCACAAATATTTATCAATGCCTTTTAAATATTTATACTTTTAAAAGAGTACAGGGCTTTTTTCCTGTTGGGAAAAAATGTTGGATTTTGGGGTGGAGGTTTTTTAAGCGAATGGCAGTGAATATTAGTAGACAGATGTCCATCTTCCCGATGATTTCCGAAGTATCTGATTCACACTTGACATCTCCTATATGGACAGCTTACAACATTTTTCTTTGTTTGAGGGCTTGTCCTCACAGCTGGTGGTCAAAGCACTCACCTTTAATAATGGGCAGCCTGAGAGTATTTAAGAGTCACTAAATAAAATAAGTAGCCGGTGGGACAGGGAGCAGGCCCTGCTCAAATGCCAAACTGAAAAGCCTGAATTTTTATCCTCTGCCACCTTGGCAGCTGTGGCTCAGCTCTGCCCAATAGCAGCCACAGAGTTCAGGTCTCTCCACAGTCAGGATTGTCACGACTTGCACATGTAGCTTTAGCCCTCTTCCACTCTGCCCCATGAAAGATGAGACTGAAGATGTGGACATTGTGGGAGTGTACAGTGTCCAGCTGAGTATTTATATATTTATTTCTAACTGCTCGCTAGGTGACTTTTTATGAATGGCATTTTTTAATGATGAAAAGGATATTTAAAAAAAAAAAGTAACTCAATTTGTTTATAAGTGTTTTATTTTATCTCTAGTTTGTATTTCCCCCTCAGCCCTTCTTTTTGCAAGAGAATGAAACCATGATCTGCCCTGAATCGGGATGTGTTGTGTGCAACCAGACGTGGGGGTGTCAGCACCCACCGCAAGTTCCTCTTCTGTATGAGTCAGGCCAGGAAAACTGGCTGCCCACAAGTTCAAGGCTTATTAATCTTTCATACAACACAGTAAAACATAG